GTCTACATGTGAGGGAGATAGGGGGTGAGAAGGGGAGAGCTGTGGGGGAGATGGAGACAGATAATGACTGAGTCTAATTCACCATCGCCATCAGAGATGCGTGTACAGAGACGCGTATAGGCCATAAACTGTAGCTGGAGGGAAGAGTGCTGGAACAGACCTGATCAGCACTGTGTGGAGGTGGTAGGAGGGATGTTAGGGCCTCGAGGGGTTGCAGGGCATTAACTTGCTCTACAGATAATTTCATCTCATTTACCATGAGCTAATCCTGATAGTGTTTTGCTGTATTTTGGATTTTTTTGATGTTTGTGTTTTCGTTGGGGGTTAGAGTGATGAAATACACTTGTGTTCAACTAATGGAGACTTTGTGTATTAATGGGTTGTGTTTTAGCCTCAGTTTTTTTCCATTATTGTCACAAAAGTGAATAACTTATCATACTGCGCCTTTCGCACTCATTGCCACTTTATTACACTATAAAAACATCAGTTCTATCCAGTCATTTAGTATCACATATAGCATTTTGAGATTGAGATCTGAAAATTGGGTGAAATAAACTTCTCCCCACTGCATTTTTTTAGGTTTAGAGAAAGTAAACAGGTCAGAATGGCAGTTGTATAATGAAGATAATATCATCTCAGTGGGAGATTGCTCTGTTTTAAGGCAACACGATTTGGGAATACGGATAATTAACTGAATTACTGATTAGGATTGAGAAATATTTGGCAGTGTACAGAGTGGCAAGAACCGCCAGAATATTTCTTGACTATTTCAGGCCGAATGGCTCTCCAGCCTCCTTCCTTCCTCTCTTACCAGCCTTCCTCCATTCACCTTTTTTTATTGAGTTTATTAAAGCCAGTCCACATACTGGGCTTCCCAAGTCCAGTTCCCTTTCCCATTCATTACAGTACCTTATCCTGGCAGGCAATCTGAAGTGTGCTCTGAATAGTCCATTACGCACATATGAATGCCATCATGGCCGCAGTATTGGTCAATTCATCAGACATTTATCTGTTGCCTTCTGAACAGGACGTCGTTATGCCCATCACTCGGCAGCTCTGGCCCTCCTTTTAGAATAAGTGCACTGCTTTTCTGCACTGCTTCTATTTTTATTTATTTATTTATTTTTTTAACTGTGGACTGCAGCTGCGAGGGCTCTCCAGCTTTTCAAAGTTGTTTTTTAATTTACATTAGACTCAGGAACTTTTTAAATATTGCTGGGCTAGCTGCAGGGATGTTGCCTCTGTGATCTCTATCAACATTTCAGTAATAGAGAAGGCCTTGAGGTTGTTTTCTATTATAGCTCTGTGATGTGTAGCTTTGACAAACTCCACATTTGACCTATTGTCTTCAGAGCTTCTAAGAATTACAAGCTATGATTCATTTAGGCGCTATATCCAAAAGCAGCAGACATAAGAAGGGAGGCTGTGTAACACATGTAAAAGAGCCAAGGCTGCCGTTCTCCATTTTTCATGTGTTGCCTCAGGATATCTGACATGACACTAGCGCACACCATTGGCAGGAGTGACTGACATTTTAGCCAATAATGGTCGAGAGTTTTCTTCCCTCTGTTGTCAGCAGTGGTTTATCAATCACTATGTCTGCATTAGTATTAGTGTATTGATCTAACAGGGCTGCTCTCTGGGTCAGTGTCTCCTCTCCAGTGTCCTTGTCTAGTTTCTCACATCTCACAATCCTCCCTAGCTTCCTGTGCTTTCCGCTCCAGCTATGTGTACTCTATGTATACTGTACTGTGTGCATTGAGGGACTGGATTTCAGCACATACATGCAGTACTTATGTAAGCCCAATAGCACATACTCTGATGCACACAGGGCTGTATGATGTATGATGGTGAGCTTACACAGGCTAAGTGGTAGTCAAAGCGTAAAGACAGCCCGTGTGAAGTATTAGCTCTGACAATGAGGCTGATCATAATTATCTTAACAAGGAGAGGATTCATCGCCTCACCTCGTTAAAGCTACTGCCTCTCTCTCTCTCTCTCTCTCTTTCTCTCTCTCTCTCTCGCTAGTTAGAGGTTTGAGAAAACGCATTTGATCACAGGTTACTATAGAAATCGGATTTTTCTAAATATGTACAAAGAGATGATGCAGTACGATGCAAGAGTAAAGTATTTTTCATAAAGTATATAGTCATATAGTCCTTTTTAGAAAAGGCTAATTTCAAAAAAAGATTCATAGCTAATGACATGAACATAAGTGACTGACTGATCTGTAAACATCACATTACTAGATGTATAAAACATGGCCAAATGGCAGTAGTAGCAGTAAATTGTGAAAATTCAACATTTACTTTTGCAGTATGAAGCGTTACTGTATATTTTCATTATGACTCTCAAATGTATTTTTTAAAACATAAGGAAAACTGTTTTTTATGTATATTTCCTTTAAAATGTGCATTTGTTGTATGTGTGTTTTCCCTGTGTTTGCCATTTACCAAATCTCTATAGCGTTGGGACTCAAGTCAATTATGCTCATTAGTTTTGTTAAAAGCGAAAGCTGCTTTTTTGGGGTTTTTTTCATAAGTGAAGTACTTTTACTGCAGTGCTTAAACTTTGTTAGTTTTCCAAGCCACACATTAAAACAAGAAAGCTTATAAAAAGTAATGAAACCAGCTATGGAAATCTGCAGAGGGAGCACAGAAAGCTGGAGAGTATTAGAAGTTCAATCCCTGCACTGTAGTTAATGCTGGATGGGACTCAGTGGCTCTCCCCTGGCTGTGAATTTAACTGATTAAATCAGCCAGTGCACGCAGCAGTGGTGACATGAAAACAACAATTAATAAGGCTCCCTCCTGTGCCACAAGGCTCCCTTTAACCGAGCAGCTAATAACATAACCCACAGGACTGCAGCCCATCATACACACACATACACACGCACACTTACAGGTGGCAATAGTTAGTTAGCAACCTCTGTTCACAGAAAATGCAATAATGTGCATGGTACACAACTGTGCCTAACTACACATTGAAGATTATACTTGCTGATTAATTGCATGTTGTACCAAATTCCCTGTCGATACAAACACAACAACTGTGCTGAAAAATATACATTTTATATTCGGATTGCTAGTTTGAGCCAACAGAGAGTTTTGTCATACAGACACATTTTTTCATAATTTTAGCTAGATTGTTTTTCTTTTTTAAATCCAAGACAAACAACAGTAAATTGCAAAAATGTGTCAGTATTTAGATATGAAATGTATGCCAGCTCTATAGATTAAGTGAACTAGCTTAATGGGTTTTTTTTTTTCTTTCATAAATGAGTAGCCTCATGGGGAAAAACAACAAGCAAACAGAGCAGGATTTCATAAAACTGGCACATCTCTCCGTTCATCCATCTTGCCAATGCATTAATCAGACCTGATAAGAGGTTGTCAGCTGGCGGCTTTGCCAACACACTGGCTAGGTGCTGTCAGCTGTTGTTGTGGGTATCAAGTGTGTGTGTGTTTGCAAAATGCTGATGTCTTTTGAAATGAGGCGGCTCAGTCCGCCCGCCTCACTCACAAGTCCACAATGAGTTGCTGATTTGTCGTTTTGCAACCCGAGAAGATGGTTGCAACATTTTGCTTTGTTGTTCAAAGTTGCTGCCAGAATGTCCACTCCGTCGACGTATGTGTGCTTAAGTAGACGCCAAGCTGAGTGGTCAGAAAAGCTCACAAAGACAGCAGGTAGAGCAAGATAACTACATACACCATATTATATTGCAAATACTCATCTTTTTTTTATTAATTCGTCAATATGCAGCTCCTGTTCGATAATAAATGTGACTGTTACGCCATGCCCTCACACTGCTTACTGCTCCTTGCCATCTATTTGCAGATTGTCATGATAAAGGTGTTATATTTACATTACTCTAAGCTGGTGTGTATTATGGCAGCCATTGACACTAGGCAGATCCAAAGAAGAGCAATAGTTCACGCTGCAGCTGTTTAGACCTCACTGTACCTTGAGGTTGTCATGTTGCAATGTGACACCGTTCACTGGAATTTATATTTACCTAAACTAATGTCAAGGTGATCCGTCTGCTTTTAAATCCAAAAAACATACTGTACTATACTTTAAAAATGTTGAGCTCGTAATTGGTATAGTCAGATATATTTATGAATTTAAAATGCTGCGTAAAATGGAAAATACCTGTTGTGTGAACTGTGAGAAACCGATCTTGAGAAGTATACTGTCTGCGTCAAGTTCTGGCAGATTTAAATGTCAATGAACTCACCCAGGACATTTTAACATGGCATGTTGACAGTGTGAAGGATTAGACAACACACACATTGCCTTTGTGCACCCTCCATGACTTGAACTTTGCAGGGCCCTAGCATTACTCTTAACACCGCCCTCCATCATTTTTATGCCTGTGTGAATGTGCATGTGTGCGAGAGGGAAAGAGTTGAGATGACCCTTCACCTCTCCTTGCAATGTGTCATAAAAAGGAGCGGAAAGGCAGAATTCCTCCTTTAAAAAAAAAGAAACGTCCTTTGATGTTAAAATCCTAACACTAACCCCTATCATGGCACAGTCGCAAAAAAGTTCCCCTTTCATTCCATCTGTGATTGCGAGTGTATTCCGGTTCCTCTGTGAAAATGATGGATGACAAGTTAAATTTGTGTCTGGGGAGTGAAGGTGAACTGTGACAGAGTGATTTGTCTTGGGAATGGAGGGTTAGGGTCAGGCGAAACTGGGCGCCTCAAGGCACAAGACATTGACAAATTCATCCTGCCCGCTGCATTTCTGAAGCCTTTTGTTTTGAATCCTGGCTACTCACAAGTGACCCCCATCCCTCATCCTGCCAGCCGCTGAAGGATGCCTCACCATGCCAAGGGAGCTCAGTACCACTAATTCTTGTCATTCACTTCCCTGACAGGCCCAGACCCATACTCTCCCGGTGTATGAAAGAGGGAGGCTGAAATATTTATTTCTGCACAATAACGGCTGACCAGATTTAGAGCCATAACAGTTTTCCTGTTGCCTTATCATTGCAGGTCACTGGCAGGCCTCAAAATGTTCACTGAGCTGGAAGAGCTGGTCGCTGACAACAATCTGCTTGGAAATGACCTCCGGTTGCCCAGGTTACCCAACCTCCACACCCTAACACTCAATAAGAACCAAATATCCTTTGAAACTAATCCCAGTCCCTTTCTTATTTTTGATTTGCAGTCTTCTATGCGGACATAGATTACAGCCATCAGTATCAGAATCAAGAGTTTATTTTTTTTACATTATGTGAATACAACCTGCCATTTTCTTAAAGAACCAGTTTTTAATGCCATGGTTTTGCAGGGAGCACTGTGTGTTGCAAAAGAGAGTAAAAGAACTTGGCTGTCACAGAGCTCCACATAGGACTAGTTTTTGAACCACAGGGACCTCTAGTGGAATCACATTTTAGAGTCAACATAACAGATGTGTATTTTTTATTTTCAAAGAGAATAAAAGGTGTTGGATTAAAAATGCATCGCAAGAATGAGACATAATCTAGTGTAATATATTTGCTGTTTGGTAATATCAATTATTTTTAGTTATTGGTAAAATGGTTAAAATCAGGATTTTTCATATTTGCATGAGCTGAATTGTGCTTTATTACTCTGCTTTACCTCTCTGAAATAAACTGACTCAGTTATTTAATTTGTCACTAAACACACTAGAACATGCTCACATTTTGGCTCATTGATTATAACGGCTCTGTGTGCTCTACCACCCAAAGTAAACACATTAAAGCCAGAGCTCTGCACAGCCACCCTAAATTCAAGACATAGACACATTGCGAGGCTGTTTATGATCAGTCAAAAATGTGTGAACTTCCCCTCAAGCTTCAGAACAGGTTTAGCAATGTGTCCTGTTTTCCTCTGGTTATGCAGATCCTACTGGGTAACGATGTTCACTCTCTCTCACACATTCACACACACACACACACTTCCAGAGTCAACATTAAAACTGGGACTCCTTGAAGTGTGCGTCTGGGACTGTATGCTGAGTTTGGTTGTGAAGTGGTCGGCACATGCTAATAGGCCAATTATGTACATCCTGTCGTGGCACAGTGCCATTTTAAAGCTCGAGCACTGCATTAGTGCAGTTGTATTTTGACACTTTGGGGCTCAATTTTCCAAGTGAATGTATTAGTGATGAATGTGCCTGCTTTAGGGGCTGTTTGTTTTTTCCACGTTTCGCAAAAGTTTTCCACTGCACGGCTCTGGGAAGCACGGACTGTTTGAACCACAGGGCATCCATCATTTTGTCACTGTTCTGCACCCGGCCACCTAGGAAATGAAAGAAATCGAGAGAAAGGGAGAGAGAGCAGCAGCCAAATTGTGTCACTACTATATGCCAAAGCCTGCACCTTAAATTGCCCCTCTGTCTGCCCAGTCTCACAAAGCCAGTGACTAGCCCCTTTGAGCACCTCGGTAAATTTGACAGTGACGTGTTTTAGCGCAGACAGGCCCGGGAGGGGCTGTGCGGGTAGTAAATGCTAATGTAATTAACAACGCTAGGTCCTTGACATCCGCCCTTTGACACCTGACTGATATCGAGGCCCTGCTGGAACACTTGGCTGATGTGACCCCGTCACTGGAGTACCTAAGCCTGCTGGGAAATGAGGCCTGCCCCAACCAGCTGGTCAGCCCGGATAAGGATGAGGACGACTACCAGAGATACAGGTCTGTTACTACATGGATATAGATATACTGTGAGATAGATAGATAGATAATGTTCTGTGTGTGTTTATACTTTCAATCAGATACTGTTTTGATACTGAACTATTCAGAGTGAGCTTTTTGTAAGTAATGGATTTAGAGATGTTCCCTTTTTTTAACATCCAGCCCCCCCTACATTTCACAAGCAGACTGTGGATTCAACCACATCACTCTAAAAGCTTTGTCAACTGGCCTCTCTACACTCCAGTTTGCAAAATGGATTTCATGTGTGACTAGTCACCACCACAAATGAGTGTTTACTACCCTGCCTTACCAGAGCAGATGATGCATTAAACATCAAGCTAGGCCTGAAGCCATGCAATATGACCACCATTTGTCAGGGTCCTTTACATGAAATGCGATAAAAGGCGAAAAGCATACTCTCCTTTGTCTGTTTTAGCCCTAAGTGCTTGTTTCTGACTCCGTGTTGCTTATTAATCATTTACCACCCATGCCTTTCTTGAATAATCTTTCTTCTCTCTTTTTTGTCTCCCTTTCTCCCCCCTTCTCTCTCTCTCTCTCCCTTTTGCTCCCCTTCTCCCCCTTTCCCCCCTATCCTCGCATGCTTTATCTTACTGGTGAGAAAAGCTGTTCTGTTTTGACTGACAACGTCTAGGGTCCTGTAATGTAATATTCATAATGTGTCACATAGTAAAACATCAATTTGAGCGTGATGCAGATTTCATGTCTGACAAGGTTAGGCTGTATGCAGGTCGTGACAGCACTGGCCTTGGGCAATAAATACCCAGCCCAATGCCTCGGGAGCTCTTGGTCTCTCAAGTGAAATACCCTGGTGCGTTGCATCGTTGCCCCAATTAGTGCAATGACATAGAAACATAGTATTCATTCACACAGTATTGTGTAGTCAGCGGGGAGGTTAAATGTTGTCCTGTCCTTACTGACCATGCGTACGCTCAGTGGCCATTTGTAGTACTACAATAACACAAGGGTTTAAAGTTGTAATATTATATGTGCATAGTGGTTACTGGTAATGCAGCATTGTGCTTATAGGACACTGTCTCCTCAGAAAACTGTCAGTTTGAGAAACCCAGAAATATTGTGACAATAGATGTAACGCAACCTATGTCTTTTATCTCTGCCTCTGCGATGTATAAGATATTAACATATCTTTATTATGTGACATTTAACCTCTTATCTTGAGAATCCTATCCTCTTTTTGTGGTAGATCAAAGAGCGTGTGCCTAAGGGTGCCTCAACCAGCACCTGTACTTTGTGTTCACTCAATTGTTTTTCTAAATTCCATAAAGGTAGCTGCATAATAATTACGCACAATGTCTATAAATGTTATTTTTTTAAAGATTGTTATGTTAAGTATAATGATTATTTTACAACACAGGCTTTTACGGGTCCCATAGTTTCCTAATATCTTCCTAGAAAGGAACTGATATGTAACTGTAATGTCTTTCCTGGAAAAGATTATTTCATTTGGTACTAATAAAGGAAAAGTAATTCCAGTTTACTATCAGTGTAACCTTTTATTAGAGTAAGTGCAGAGCAAGTCAGAATTTACAATACAGTTTAATAAATATAGAGAATAAAGTTTACCAGAATGAAATGCTATGTGACTGCTATATAATATCCTGTTTGTTATTTGTTATTATTTTCCCTATAACCTATACCAAATTACGCAATTCTTGAAAAAAACAGTTAAAGAAAGATATTAGGAAATGATGGAACCTGTTTCTTTAAGTTTATTCTACAAAAACCACTTCCAAGGGCAGAAAAAAAATCATATTGTTGTCAGCACATGTTTGGTATTGCTAAAAAAAGTGTATGACTTGTTTTCAGTCATCTCTCCTCCCCTGTACCCTCCCTCTTTGGTTGGGTTGAATCATTAATATCCCTACTGGCTGACAAAACCTTGTCATCTGCTCTGACCCTGTGATGGTGGGTTACCTATGGAGAATGACCCCTCTGCATGTCTCCCAAGGGCATCTTCACATTTCATCATGGAAATACCGTGAACAAAGTCCTTTTACAGGAAGGGACACAAAGGATGGGATTGGGGCCTCTTGAGTTTGAGTGCTGGTGCTCTCATCAGGGAAGGAGTTCTTATTATGGGTTAGGAGCAGGTCATTTTACCTTATAATAATGTCCCAACAAGAAGGCATTTAGTGCCATGTGATATATTTAGTGTTTAAATAATTTGTTTACTTTTTGCCGTCAAGCACTCTTCCTGTTTTATGTTTTTTTCAAAATATATCAGATGTTTTTCGTCTTATATTTTCTCTTCCATGTCAGTCTAAATGTGATCCCTGCATCCCCTCCTTATAATCCCCAGGTGTTGAAAACTTGACATAGGCTTTGCCATCTCCCCTCATCGCCATCGCCATCATCAATTTGTCACGGCTCTTTGCGCACAGGTCTTGTCTGTGCCCATATCCCCCGTCCTTTCTCACCCTCCACTTAGGTGCTGCATGCATGTCCTTTTTGGCTACCAGCTCCGCTCTGACATACTGGTTCCTCTATCCCTGCCTGCCTGTGAAAGGATCTGTTGTCATCTATGTATTCCAACCATTATCTTTTGACGTTTCTCTCCCTCCCAATGAAAGACAGAGTGTGTCTGAAAGCTTAGAGAAATATCTGTGATGCTGCCAGAATGACAGCTCTGGCAGGCGGGTTGTATCTCCTTTCGTGCTATTTATATGTCGTACTTATTCTTATCAGCTTTGAAGGTTATTACATACAAGAAAATATCACCATTAAATCTGCATCACCATTAAATCTCAGTAAACACGGCTTCTTTTCAAGTTTAGTTGATGCGTGCATTTACATATTAGAAAGTGTGTCAATTTGATTAGTGTATCGTGGTTTACACATTTCCTCAGATTCTCGGCTTGTCTCTTTGTCAAGAACAGGCCTACAATGAGACCTTTAAAGGCAGTAGAGTACAGTATAGTTTAAGCTGAATTGTTGTTTTCTCACAGGTACTTTGTTCTGCACAAGTTGCCCCAGCTGAAGTTTCTGGACACCAGGAAAGTAACCAAAAAAGAAGTGATGGAGGCACAGGCAAGAGGAGCATTCATGAAAGTGGTCAAACCCAAGTCGGAAGCTGTAAGTTAAGCTCTGTCTTTTGGTTTATTTTTTTGTCTTCTTTTTTTTTTTCTTTTACACTGTTTTAAGTAGTAGTCCCTCTGAAGTCTCGAGTGGATTTGTCACATTCATTCCTTTCTTCCCTTTTCTATTCTTTTCCTTTATCCTTCCTTTCTTCCTGTGCATGCTTGACTGTCAGTCTCCCTTTACAGAGGTCCCTAGTACTGTGGCCCTTTTGAAAAGAGTCTCTCTTTACTGTCGCCTCAAGTGTGCATGTGTGTGTTGTATGTGAGTGTGTGTGTAAATGTGTGTGACCACGGCCTGACCTGATTCCGTATGCATGAGCCCAGATCAAAGACGACGGGCGGCTGTCCGGTCACGGTTGTGTTGCCAAGTGTGACATGGCTGGCGATTGGAGTGACAGCTCACGTACATGCCGCTCACAATCGCTTAATTATCCCGAGCCCATGCACTTATTCCTCCCTCTCTTGTTTTGGGCCACACAGACTAATTAGAGTTCGGGGGGTTCACAGATATACCCACTTCACCCCTTTTCTCCCTTCTTCTACTCCTTTGATAATGCAATATAAATGAACGGCTTTTGTCTAGATTTGATTTCATGTAATTGTAAGGTCATGAAATATTTACTGTTCGGATCAGCTAAGCTTTGTCGTTTCAAGGTCTCTGGGGCTCTGACAGTGAGCCTGGGAGGTAAAAATGGATCCAGAGTAGCAGTAGCAAAGGCATCCAATGACAAATCAGAAGCATGTGAGTCGATGTCGGGTTTAAAAGTGCACAAGGAAAACAAAATATTTATTGTTTCAGGCGATCAGCTAAGATAGTGTACTCTTTTAGTGTCAGTTCATGCTATGCTTTGTTCTTGATTCTTCATGCAAGTGGCAAGCAAGAAAGCAAAACATTGAAATAATTTAACCTCACTCTGGCATGTTTGGTAGATCGAGAAAAGTGGAATGAAAACACTGTTCATCCACTTTATATAAAAAGAAACTAAGGACCTCTACTATGCTTTTTGGCAGGGTAAAGTCACTTTATAAGATATTATTTACATAGCTTGTCAGTAAAAAAGAAATGTTTGCCTTTGTCGCCACAGCCCTAGATGAAAGGAAAGATAATCACTGATTCTATCTGACATGATGTGTGTGTTTTTGTGTCTTTGTGTCTTTGAACCTGCTGTATATGATTATTTATTCCCTATGCAAAGTAAAAGGTTACAGCTTTGATGAAAATGCGTCTACCCCCCATTGCACACATTTTTGTTGCGCCTGAACATACTTCTGCTGTCCTATCCTCAGTTCCTTATTAGCAGTGTTTGACTGAGTCTACACAATGAAGAGATTCTTTTTGCCTGGACATCTCCCATATCTGGGCCCTGGGATGTCACAGCAGCATTTCCATAGCATTTGTTTTGAGTTAGATGAGATGTGATGTGTCAGCTACCACAGACTTGATGAGCCATGAGTACCTCCCGGCTCTAATTGTCCACATCATCAGAGTGATTGTAAGCTGACCAATAGTGCGGGCCACCAATTAATGGAACGTCTGCAACAGAACAAGAAAGCGAGGAGAGATGATGGCATAATTAGATATTTATGTTTGCTTTTATGTCTGGTACAGCAGGGTGTTGCTCATAACAGTAGCTCGTGGTACAGTGTCTGCCATTTGCTTCATTACAAAGGATGGTAATTAGCTGTCTCGCTGTCGCTTATGCTACCATTTGAGTCTCAATTAGCGCAAGTATTGGAGAGAAATAATACAGGACCACAGACATGACTTTAAAAAGGTTTATTTATGAAATAATTTAACTTTGGGTGTATCTTTTAAAGTTTCTTGCTCTGCATACAGTTAATTTTCCTCTCAGACCTCATTTGACAGTACTCCTTCCTGCTGTTTACAGTAGATAAATTGAAACCATAGAAACAGCAGCAACTGCTACAGGGTTACAGTGATACATGCCTATTCATGACAGCATAAATCTGAAGAAAGAGCCCTTCTCTATCAGATCATTCCCATTGCATGATGTACGTATTGGAATAGTTAATGGACTCGCTATGAAAAAGACAGCGCTGAACTTTCAAGACCTCTCTTGAGTCATATCAGAGTGGATTGTGACCACAGTTTTAACTCCTTTTCAATCATGCCATTATGGCATGGCACAGAGCGACGCCACATGGTTCTGATAAAGCAGTTATGGTCTTTAGCACAATCTGAACACCATAACTTTTCATACATTCCCAATGTTTTTCATGTTGCCTAAATCACAACCAGACAGTCAATAGCCGGTTGTTTGTAGGAAAAAGCACATACACACATATAGATACACACCCAAAATCCTGTAATGAGATTTTCAAGTATAGAATTATCAAATGGTTGTAGCCTTTAGGAAAGTGTATATCTTCAGGTCACAGAGTCAAACCTTCACCACAGAGACATTGTGACAAAAAAGAAGAAATGTGCTCAAATAAGATACCCATGTGCATACACTGAGGATAATTTCATCGCTTCTTTAATTGTTATTGTGTGTCTTCATGCATTAATGGGCATGACACCATAATTGGGTGATGATAAGCTGTCTCTGACTTGTCTATATGTTTGGACGTTCGCTTCAGACTCATAGGGGGGTAATTTTCTCTTTTGGGTTTTTGCTATATTGCATTTCTGAGTGGAAAGGACAAGTAGTTGGACAGGAACAGATGCAAAATGACAAAGACAAGAGCGAGAGAGAAAAAACATATATAAATACCTGAAGTAAACAAAAAAAAAAACAGCGGGTACGATTGAAGTGTTTTACCAAAACCACAACACTAAGCAGAGTCAGAGTGGAAAAGCCTTGAGCTGTATTTTGAGAAATTGGGCGTGTTGGAATGCTATAATGTGATAATTCTCTTTGAGGACTTAGAGGTCATGGAATGAAATGGCGTTAAACCACGTAGAGCCATTTGGACTGTGTTGGGCTGCTTTCGGAAAATACATGTGGTACTTTTTGGCTCGGTTCCTCCACCTCCTTCCACTCTGCCACGGAGCACACATTATGCTGTCGAACCCTTGGGTTAAACTGGCCATGTCTATCAAAACACTGTGACAGCACATTCTGTTTTCAGATCCCAAGCGCTGCTAAAAAAAAGTGCGTAGCAAATTTAACTAGTAGAATAACATTTACTCCTTGCCACATGTTTAAGAGTGTTTCACAGTGAATGAAGTAACTCCATGGTCCCCCTCACTAAGCACAGCTTGGTAGCTACGTCAGTGGGTATAAATGTTCCTCAGATGTCACTTAGATTTTGCCTCGACCAAGTATTTGACTTGATTTTCTAGCATGAACACAAGTTTTTTTTCCCACATCCCCCTGCATATAATGTAAAGCAGACTGCATTGCAGGGTGGCTTAAGCCAGCTCCCAGGTCCCATGAGTCTCTGCACACAGGGTAACGGTTCTTCAAGGGAATTGACAGTGACAGAGCCAGGAAAGTCCTCAAGTGGATCTTTTCAGTTCTGTTTTTTCTTCCCCAGACACTAACCTGTTTTACTCTGCAGTAGACAGCGGTTCATTTTAAGTTTGCACTGAAGGGAGCAGTCCAAATCTAAGATAGACTCCATGGTTTTAGACCCATGATTGTGCATTATGTGATGCATGATTGTGGCTTTTTTTTGCAATGCAATGCTGGAAATAGAGGAGGCATTTTGCTATAGGTTGGTTGTTTTGCTTCCTTTTCAAGTCTAAAATGTACCCTGTAAAGTATGTTGCCACGTTCATCTCTGTGCTTGAGAGTTAAGTCTTGAGTTCCCCGAAGCTCTCAAACATAACAAACAGCATGCAATATAGCGCTTTGTGAATGTGCCTTCAGTGGGTTTGCTGAATCATTTTACTGAACAAATGTGTCCTCAGAGAAAACTCAAAGAATATGGTTCTCAACAGGGGAAGGAAATGTAACCCAACAGATTGCTGTGGAAGCATGTTTATTACCACTCTCTGCTCTCTGCTAGATTCTGCATTTGCACCAGCCATTATACATACAGAACCCTGATTTGTCACCTTTCTTTCATGACACATTCTTGAATCAGTATGTATACTTAGGTCGAATAAGGACAGAACAGGTTGAGTAGGAGCTGTTTGCTAAATGTAACCATACTTAGTGCCTGTCTGCTTTATGTTCAGACAAATAAACTCACTGACATATTGTGATCTGCTTGCTTTCAAATTATGTTCTTTCTTCCATCTTACATAATGTCTTGTTATCTGTTAATTACATCACTTGAGACACTGCTGTTCTCTGTCTTTTAATGACAACATATTCAAAATGTTAAAACAGCTGTTTATAACTGTTTGGACGTGTTTAGTTTGTATGATAGACGAAATACACTGCATGTTTGCTTAAGATATTTCCAAGGAGCCACATGTTCATTCTCTCAGGTATGTGTATTTGTCATTATCTGTGAGTGGTGTATGCCTCCATGTGTCTATTTCATTGTAACTGTTTTTTGACTGCTGAAGTATAGGCCTGTCCAGTGTTTGGACCAGTGCGACAGACCCAGTTCTGAGCGCTCTGGCAGCTTAAACTGAGAGGTCATGCAGGGGTTATAAGCTGGGAAAACAACAGCAATTAGAGGGAGTGACTCACACTGTCCACATAAATCATCTAGGCACTGTATATCATAAACACACTGTAAAACTTTAAAGCACAATTAATTGTAAGTAATAGTGCCAAGATTGATTTATTGCCTCTTTCAAAGCCTGGAGACATGGGGTGCGTGACCCGAGTGTCACATCACTCTCGCAAGCAAAAATGATAGATGTATTATTCATTTTTGGCTAAACACAGAGCATAAAAACAAACATGTGTTTTTGTAAGGGCTTTTATGAGACACTGAAGTGGCCGAGTTGCATTAACTGATTTTCCTTTCCTTCTGCTGGCATCCAGTACAGAGAAGGAACGCCTCTGTGGTGAAGCATTTGTTGTCTCGACGTCTCTTGTGTTTAGCGGTGGAGTTTGAGGCCTGTCAGAA